TTTTGAAGCTGATTCCATGAAGGCAAAGCTGGGGGAATCAGGACACGGGATCACAGAAGAGGGAGCTGGAAGGGGCCTCAGTCGGGGTTGATGGCAGACCAGGCTGAGAATCCAGGACTCCTCATACAGTGCTCACCCTAAGCAAGTGGGTGAGGGGTCTGACACAGGGCTGAAATCCACTGAGCACTTGATGCCCACCTTCTCCAGAAGGGCATTTGGGGCCTCACAGGTGCCCAGAAGCTCACAGGTGTCTCCTGTTCTTGCTTTTGATGCTAACCAGCTTCCAGGGACTTGGCCCCACCAGCAGGTCCCCCCTGCACCCTCCATCCCCACCCCCACCTAGGCAGGGGTCTAAGGAGTCCTGGCTGGCCTAGGGGACTGGGCCAGGCCCCACCACAGCCAACCCCATAATCTCAGATCTTGATTCAGCGCGGCCTCCCCCAGAGGCCCAATGGGGACCCTCCCATGGCCTCCTCTGCACAGATGCCGACAAGTCACGTGTCCCACAGCTGAAGGCCCCCCTGTCTGCCTCCACCATCTGCTGAGGCCCCACAATTATTCTAAAACCCGGTGCAGTCTCACTCTGAGGGGAGAGTTCACACAGCCCTGTAATGTAACCCAGGCCCACGGCTGCTCAGGCGGGAGGGTCCCCAGCTGGGTAATGAGCCACCCGCTTTATTGAATTCCCTGGCTTGGTTCTGACTGAGCACTGCCTTTAGCCGAGGTGGTCTGGGTCTTCTGAGAACCCATCTGAGCACCCTGTTTCTTGCTCCTTACCTTCTCCCTCCTCCCAAATAAATTTAAATCAAGGTTCAGGGCAGGGGGGTTCCCAGGCAGTTGGGCTCCTCCAGTGGTTTGGGAGAAAGTATGGCTGCCTCAGGTCTGGGGGCCCAAACAGGGTGGACCAGAATGGGCTGCTGCTTTGACTCTGCTGGGGCTACCCCATGCAGAAACAAGACCTACAGCTCCCACCCCCACCCTGTCTCCTAAACCTACTGACTGTCCTCTCACCTCCTCTTTCTGGAGGCCTGGGCCCCGCAGAGGGAGGGCCTTGGCCAGGGAGGCTGCACTGTGGGCCAGGCCTTTCCAAGGGGGTGTGTAGGAAAGTGCCTTCTGTGCTCTGGCTTGCAGACTCCCCGCTCAGGCTTCAGGACCCATCCCACCTCACGTCTGCAGCCCGGGGGCCTCTCTCCCCCTCTCTACCCCCAGCACTTGTTGGGACCTTTGAGAGGGCCTTCTCTAGTCTTATCATGTGTTTATATGTTGTCCTCTCTCTCTGGACAAGGACTGTCCTCTCCTCTCTGTACCCAGAACCAAGCACATAGCAGGTGCTTCAAAAACCATCAAGTAAGGAAAGAGGGAGGAGATGCAAGAGGTTTGGTCTGTGCATGAGCAACACGGCATCTGAGATGCTGGCATGGCATCACCGTCAACCCCCACGAGTGTGGCTGGTCTCCAGAGAGGAGAGACCTGGCTCATTGGGAAACTGGTGTCAGCTGTGTTGCTCTGTGTTGTCCTGTCCAGGCCCCAGTGGCTGGGAAGTTGTTATGTGAAGGGTGAACCCGAGGTCAAGGGGCACCCAGAGTTCACTGTCCGGGGTGACTTCTTACAGCTGCAGCTACAGCCGGTCTTGAACCCACCCTGGAGGGTGTGAAGGGGCTGTGGTGTGGGAGCTGGAGGGTATTCTTCTGAGTCCAAATCAGAGCCCAGCCCTCTTGTGACCAAGCTGTGCCTGATGCCCTCAGGGAGGGGGAAAGGCAGGTGACACCCCTGAGGTAAGGCCAACCTGGACTCAGCCCAGGTTCTACTCCGCCAACACTCATGCTGGAGGGAGGGAGGCCTAGGGGGACAGTGGGAATGGGGAGCCCTCCTTTGGTACCAGGGGTGCGATGAGGGTGGGGTGCCTGCCAACCCTCCAGAGAAGGCAGAGACAGGGCAGCCAGATCTGAGGAACTGTGGGAGGGGCCCAGGAGGAGACTTCAAAGTGCTCCCAGAACAGCTTATAAACACTCTGCGCTGGCAGGGCGGCTGGCAGGGGCCTTTCTGGAGACGCTGGAAGCATGCATGGCTTGTGTGAAGAGCACAGGACTGGGGTCCGGGAGGGGAGGGCATGAGCTGCGGGAGCCTGGGCAGGCCCAGCTAGCCTCCTGTGACTTGGTTTCCTCTCTTGTACAACGGAGCTCCCAGCAACATCTCCCCGCCTCCCTCCCGGGGCTGGCGTGAGGGTCAGTGGAATGATGTAGGTGAAAACGCTGTGTGGGCTCTGAGCCCTGATCAGATGTTATTTATTATTCTGAGCTGTGTTTTGGTGGGAGTCTTGGAAGCGTTGAGAGGGAGAGCCGGGGTGTCCTAGGCCCCTTCTTCCCCGATGCTGTTTTGAAAGTTCTCGGAGTGGAATGGCCAGAAATGGGGCCCTGGGCGGGAGAGAGGCCCGTGACTCTTGTAAGGGCTGAGCTGGGCGGATGGAGGCCTTTCCCAGTCAACCCCATGAGGTGAGCTAGAGGAGCTGGTGGGGTGGAGGAGCTTCCCCTGCTTTACGCCAACCCCCACCGCCCCCCCCCACCCCAGCCTCCTCTGCTCTGTCCGCCCCAGGCTCTCCCATCACCTCCAGTGGTCTCAGGTGACTCCCCAGAGATCAGCCTCCTCTCCCTGGATATTTGTTCTCATGTAACAGGGCTGTGACAGTTTTTCTAAGTCCTGCTTAGAAATGTGTCACCATCCATTCCCCTTTGTGATTTCAAAGGAGGCTGCGCAAACTGCACTCATCAAGTGCGGGGCTGAGGCCGGCTCTGAGCAGCTGGAACACGGGTTTATGAAATTACAGGGAATTCAAAGCAGCCGGCGTCGCCCGCTGTCTGGCTTCATTACCGGGCCTGGCCTCGGAGGGAAGTTTATTCCAATAATTTAGGGGATTAGGATCTGACACCCTTCATTAGCTCTGTGACATAAGCAGAAAAGACAGATCTTGCAGAATGACCCACACAACGGGGAGAGAATTGGCATGGGGCTGGGAGAAGGCGACACAACACCCCTCGAGGAAAAATCTGCAAGGTGGAGAGAAGCATTATGCTGCCTTTTTACAGTCGAATGAGATGGCAAACTGTAGCCCTCAAGGGGACGGAAGACCTGGAAAAGTGGGGGCCTGTGTTCAGGACTCAGTTTCCCCACCTGAGAAATGAGAGCCTTGCTGGGGACCTCCCAAGTCTCTTCTGGCTCTGAAGTGGGCTCAGCCTACACCATCTCCTATCCCTGGGATGCAGCAGATGGGTCACTGCTCCTCAAATCTTTGCAGTTTGGCCTTTCGGAGGTACCCATCTCTTCTGGGGATCTGTGTCCCCCCTCCCTCACACCCTCTGGGGGTCAAGTGACCCATGCAAACACATTTAGGAAGCTCACTTTTCGATGGTGTTGGAGGCACCTGATGTTTCCTGCCATGGGGGGCAGAAATGCTACCCCCCCACCCGCAGCTTTGAACTCTTTCCCTGCCCTCTCCACCAATATAGCATCTGATCTTTCCACAAACTTCTTGTCCCCCCTGTAAAAACCAGAATCGAAGCTGTACCTTGACAGCAGTTCTGACAGCCAGGTGGGCAAGGAGTGGTTCCCAAAGGCCTCTGCCCACATCCTACAAGCTGGCGTCCCCATTTCCCGTCTTAAAGTGGCATCCCATAGCTGTGCGACCGAGGGTGAGTTGCTTAGCCTCTCTGGGTGTCTTCTCCTCCGATCTGCCACGAAGGTAGTTTGTCCTGAGGATGCAGTGTCGCGATGCATATAGAGAGCCTGGCACAAACTGAGAGCCCCATAAATATTAGTGTTTAGTACTATTACACCCATCGGCGGTGGCTGACCTTAGGCGAGTCCCTGGCCCTCTCCGGCCCGAAACATTTCCTTTGTAAAGTGGGGGAAACCCAGACACACGAGAGAGCTCAGGAGCCCCGGGGCTGAGTGGTCATCAGGGAGGCCGGCTGCTGCCCAGCGCCGTCCTGAGACACTTACCCCACTTACCCCATAGGTTTTCTTGGAGCCGCCGAGTGTGTCAGTCGAGGAGCGAGGAATGTGATACGTCCCGGCAGCTGGGGGAGCCGGGGGAGCCGGAGCATATCTGGTATGTGTCTCTGGAATGATTTGGGGAAAATTCACCGAAGTTGGAACTTGAGACGCGAACTGCCCGGCCGGCCCCCCGAGAGATAGGGAGCTGTCCGCGCGCACCCCCCGCAGAGGGACCCGGTGCGGGGGCAGGAGGCAGCTTACACAGCAGGCGCTGCTGCTCAGGCCCGCCCTGGAATGGCCGTGAACTTGTTGTTTTTCCACGTCATTTGCTCTCAAATGTACTATCGGGCCAGGCGATGCTAACTCTGCGGCTGCAGGTCCCTCCTTGTAACAAGCGATCGTGTGTTCTTCGGAGGTGGCCACGCAGAGGAGGGGGCCCGGCCCCGGGGAGGTGGGGGAAAGGGAAACAAACCACTCCTTTACAGTGAGCTTGCGTGTCCCGGAGCCAGCTCCCCCCAAAGCACATGCCATTTCTGGCCCTTGAAGGGGTTAAAGGCCTCCTGGAGTCAAAAACAAGCAGGTGTCCCACCGTGCCAGATACGCCGCCTAAACCGCTTCCAGCTTTTTTTTTCCCCTTCTGCAACAAGTCTGTGATCGGCCACGGGACAGAGGAGCCAGCAGCCTGCCTGTGACAGGCATCAGGTTAGCTCGCTCGCTCCCACTCGGGTGGCGCGCCCAGGATATAAATCCAGGCTCGGGCCCCTGCTGCGGGCTCCTCTCCCTGCACACTCAGGAGAGGGAGTTTCCTTGCAGAGACCTTCCCTTTATCTGAAGCCGCACAGCCCAGCGGGCTCCACTGACTTGGTGGAGGCGGCGGCGGCGGCTGCAGCGAGGAAGCCCGCTGGGGTGGGGAGGGCAGGTGTCTGCAGCCCAGAGGAGGCGGCGGCCCTGGTGGGCCCCAGCCCCTGACCTCGTTGCAGGGGGGGGCTCTAGCCACCGCAGACCACATCATGTGGGCCCCGGGGTGCTGCTGCCGGCTCTGGTCCCGCTGGGCACAGGTGGCAGTGCTGCTGCTGCTGCTGCTCGGGGTGCCCCCGAGAGGCCTGACACTGCCACCCATCCGCTATTCCCATGCTGGCATCTGCCCCAACGACATGAACCCCAACCTCTGGGTGGATGCCCAGAGCACCTGCAAGCGGGAGTGTGAGACAGACCAGGTGAGTGAGAATCCAGAAGACTGACATGGACCACGTGAGTGTGTTAGTGAGGGTGACTGGGAGCCGTGGGGTGGGGAGACTCAGGGGCCCCCCGTAGGAAAGGTAGGAAGTTGGGAACGTGAAGGAAGTTGGGCCCCAGGCCTCATGGAGATAAATAGGGCGTGATGCCTGTCCAAGTCTGAGCCCAGAGGAAGAGGTGGGTGTGATGTCCAAGTTCATCAGGGATGGGGAATCCTGGGATTCCTAGTTTCAGGTTTGCCAAGGGCTGCTCTGAGCCAGCACTAGGCCAAGCACATCGCGCGGACAGGCACAGCCTTTCAGCCCCCCATCGACAGGTGAGAGCAGACACTCAGGACATTGCAGCAAGCAGCCCAAGGTCCCACAGCCAGGGACGGGAGTGTGGGCTTGACACCTGTGTCTCTCTGACATAGCTGAGGCCTCCAGGCCACCTCCCCAGGGGTTCACACCCTGACCCTGAGGTCAGGCCAGCCTGATGGGGAGAGTGGGCAGGAACAGCTCTGGATAGACTCTCTGGTTGTCCCTGGGAGGGGAAGTGGACTCAGTTTCAATCTGCCATATTCCTCGGTCCTCCCTTCTGCTCTCATTAGAGCAGCTGGGGCAAAGGGCAGGCCTGGTGCTAAGGACAGTTCTTTCCCAGATCCCGAGTCCAAGGGCTGTTCCTGCTGCTCCCCACAGGGGATGAAGAAGAGCCGACTGGTACCTAGCACCTGCCTGGGCAGAAGGCTGCCCAATTCCTAGGGCCCAGGGCTGGACTGGGCTGGGCATCACCAGGGAATATGAGAGATACTCCATTTGCCAAACGCATATAGTCTGCAGAAAAGCCCAAGATTGCCCTGCAGAGAGCGGTCTCTGCCCCATGGTGTCTGGGGCACAACTGTCAGATCTCTCAGGCCAGATGCTGTGAGTGAGCAATGGTGGTGCTGAGGAAAGGGAAGATAAGGAGTGGGAAGGTGCAGAGAATTCCCATTCAGCTGAGGTCACGAGGCTCATTGGCTACATTGGCAGTGAAATCTATTCCACTCGCACAGGCTGGCCTGATAAATCAGGTGCAGCATGGGACAGCGAGACTCTGGCTGATTCTGTGTGTTGGGGAAAAGGTACCTGTGTGGGGCGAGGGAGTTATTTGCCTACGTGTGTATTCTGGACCCTCGAGCCAAAACTGTTCTAAGGGGTCCTTCTAGGTTTCCTGTGCCCAGAGATACCTTCCCCAGGTTTCTGGGGACTGGAACTTTCATGGACTTTAGGGTCCTTAAAGGAGCTTCCTGGGCCAGTCTCTTAAAGGAATTTTATGAACCTTGGGCCCAAGAGTGGATGCTCCTATCCACACTCAGTCCCTCCTGCCCTACACCCCCCACTGGGTTTCTCACCCTCAGACCCCCAGCTCCGAGATCTGCCCATCCCTGTCCCAAAGCCTCCCCTGGTGTGGCCTAGAGCCTATGCCAAGCAAGGACTGCGAAACAAAGTCCCCATTCTGAGCTGAGAGGGGGAAAACAGTAAACAAGTCAAGCAGGCAGGCTCCACACAGCTCGGGTGGGGGATATCTCCCCCTCTTAGCTGATGTGGAATGTCAAAGAGGCTGAAATAAAAGTCGGAACCACAAGAGGCCAGCCCTAGTGGGGGTAATTCCCAGAGCTACTACCAGGGCGGAGGATTAGGAGCGCTGCCCGCCTGCCCAGTGGGGACGAGGTGTTATTGTCGAAAACACCACGTGAAATCCTTGTTTGTGTCGGCCCCAGAGCATGTTGCTAATTTCGAGGAATTAAACTAATGCCTTACGTGGCTCCACAGCGAATCAAGGGGGGATTACAGCCCTAGTAAGTCCTCGCTGACGGCTTTGCTGACTCTTGCCACCCAAGGGGGGGCTGTTTCCCTTGTTGATTTGTCCCACACGTCAGAGCTGAGCACCTGCGCCTGGCACAGCCCTCCGAGGTAGACCTGGCATCCCCGGGCCTGTGCCGCCCGCCCTCCACAGAGCTGCCGTTCCCGACGCATGTGTGGCCGCCTTGAGCATCTATGCCAGAGGTGTCCGATTTTTCCTCCTTAGGGTTTGGTGTGACCTCTTCAATTCGGCCAGGGCATCCTCACCCCAGTGGAAAAGAGACAGAAAGGCAGGCTCATTTGTTCCAACCTAGACCTCCTTTGTGGTAACCCTATGATGTGGAAGACACGATCTCCTTTCAGAATCCCATCTACCTGGAGCTTGAAGCCCTTTTCTGCCACTTGCCTAGTCTCTGGACGTGGGCATCACTTTTCTGAGTCTGCATTTTCGTCTATAACATGGTAGTCCGAGAACTTCCCCTCTCAGAGGTAGGTGGCCTGCCTCTTCTCACAGCTGCGTGACCTTGGGCAAGTCAAGTTACCTGATCTCTCTGTGCCTCAGTTACCACTACCACTACCACTACCTGGGGATAATAGCTGTGCCCACCTCACAGGCCCATGATGAGCAGGAGGGAAGTTGACAGGTACAAATGTTCTCACAAGAAGGCCTGGTAAGTGACAGCGGCTACGGGTCCGCTAGCTCCCAGCATCATCTGGATGTGGGGCTCCCGGTAGGTGGGGAGCTCAGTTCCCTTCCTCAGAAGCTGTGGGTGTGGGGGTGGGGAGCCTCGCTCAGGCCTCTTGATCTTGCTCCCTGCAGGAGTGCGAGACCTATGAGAAGTGCTGCCCCAACGTGTGTGGGACCAAGAGCTGTGTGGCCGCCCGGTACATGGACGTGAAAGGGAAGAAGGGCCCTGTGGGCATGCCCAAGGAGGCCACCTGCGACCACTTCATGTGTCTGCAGCAGGGCTCCGAGTGTGACATCTGGGACGGCCAGCCCGTGTGTAAGTGTAAAGATCGCTGTGAGAAGGAGCCCAGCTTCACGTGTGCCTCCGACGGCCTCACCTACTATAACCGTTGCTACATGGATGCTGAGGCCTGCTCTAAGGGCATCACACTGGCCGTCGTCACCTGCCGCTATCACTTCACCTGGCCACACACCAGTCCCCTGCCACCTGAGACCACAGCGCGCCCCACCACCGCCTCCCCAGAGACCCCCGGGATGGATATGGTGGCCCCCGCTCTGCTCAACCACCCTGTGCACCAGTCAGTCACCGTGGGTGAGACGGTGAGCTTCCTCTGTGATGTGGTGGGCCGGCCCCGGCCTGAGATCACCTGGGAGAAGCAGCTAGAAGATCGGGAGAACGTGGTCATGCGGCCAAACCACGTGCGGGGCAACGTGGTGGTCACCAACATCGCCCAGCTGGTCATCTACAACGCCCAGCCCCAGGACACTGGCATCTATACGTGCACAGCCCGGAATGCTGGCGGGGTCCTGCGTGCTGACTTCCCACTGTCAGTGGTCAGGGGGGGTCAGGCCGCGACCACCTTGGAGAGCGGCCCCAACGGCACGGCCTTCCCCGCGGCCGAGTGCCTGAAGCCCCCCGACAGCGAGGACTGCGGCGAGGAGCAGACCCGCTGGCACTTCGACGCACAGGCCAACAACTGCCTCACCTTCACCTTTGGCCACTGCCACCGCAACCGGAACCACTTTGAGACCTATGAGGCCTGCATGCTGGCCTGCATGAGCGGGCCGCTGGCCGTGTGCAGCCTGCCCGCCCTGCAGGGGCCCTGCAAGGCCTACGCCCCTCGCTGGGCTTACAACAGCCAGAGCGGCCAGTGCCAGTCCTTCGTCTACGGCGGCTGCGAGGGCAACAGCAACAACTTTGAGAGCCGCGAGGCCTGCGAGGAGTCCTGCCCCTTCCCTCGGGGGAACCAGCACTGCCGGGCCTGCAAGCCAAGGCAGAAGCTCGTCACCAGCTTCTGTCGGAGCGACTTTGTCATCTTGGGCCGCGTGTCTGAGCTGACCGAGGAGCCCGACTCGGGTCGCGCCCTGGTGACCGTGGACGAGGTCCTCAAGGATGAGAAGATGGGCCTCAAGTTCCTGGGCCAGGAGCCGCTGGAAGTCACCCTGCTCCACGTGGACTGGACCTGCCCCTGCCCCAATGTGACGGTGGGCGAGACACCGCTCATCATCATGGGTGAGGTGGATGGTGGCATGGCCATGCTGCGGCCCGACAGCTTCGTGGGGGCGTCCAGCAGCCGGCGGGTCAGGAAGCTGCGCGAGGTCATGCACAAGAAGACCTGCGACGTCCTCAAGGAGTTTCTCGGCTTGCACTGAAGCCCCCCCCCCGCCCCTCCCCAGCCCCCTCCCCCGCCCTCATCTACCTATCCACCCCTCACGCCTCTCAGTCCACAAACTGGGCAAGGGCAGGTTAGACAGTCTTGGGCCAGCAGGGAAACAGCAATCAGTGCATCAGAAAAAGCCCACCAGAGGCTCTTAGATCAACTTCTAGTCTTTGGGTTCAATCAGGGGTCTGTATCTTCTTTAGCTGAAGGGGACAAAAGGAGAAGCCAGTAGACACCTGGAGGCTATTCCTGATGACCAGTCAGCCCGGGCGTTATGACCTTCTCTTTGCTGGTCGGCCCACAGCCAGCGCCCGGCTGGGCTTCCAGAGATGGCGACTGCGTGGTCACGGGAATCATGGAATGAATCTGTTTGCCAAAAGGGTAGGTGGGGAGAGAAAGCATGCAACTGCCCTGAGGTGGTGGTGAGCCTGTGCTTCGGTCAAATTGGCTCTGTGGACTCTGAGGCCACCATGGCACCAGCAGAATATACAGTTTTCATGCTTCTCCTTGGCTTTATTGATTGGTTCATTGATTGTCAATTTATTAACTTAGTTCTGCTCAGTCTGACTCAAGGGACATTTTCGGAACACGTACTGGGAGCCAGGCGCTAGGACACAGAGAGATATTAGTCACTGCCCAGCTCCTGCTGACTGATGGGAATGTCCAGACCCCAGAGTCCCCGGCCTCCCCGGGGCCCCCCGGGGGCCCCCGGAAGCAGACCCATGGTTGGCCCACCCAACTGTCAAATGGTCCCATTCGAAGGACAGGGTGCTTTCAACTGCCACTGGCTTCCTTGGACAGAAAGCAGATAGAAGCCCCAGGATCTGTTTTGGTGGGAAGGGAAATAAAGGGAAAGTCAGGATTGGGGTGGGAAGCTCCCTGAAAGAAAGGAGGGAGGAGGGGAGTCAGGCTTGGGAAGGAAAAGGAATGTTGCTCGATGCTTCCATCTGGTGGTGGCCTTGGGAGCTGCAGGGCCCTGAGGGCGTCTCCAGGCGAGAGCAGGGAGGGCAGATTTGGGGTTGCGGCAGCTTGTTGGTGACTTCTCGTTTCTGTGCAGGTCCAGCCACCACCACCCCCCCAACACTAGATAAAGGACTTGGGAAAGCCACTATCAGCTCTACATCTGCCCCCCTTTCCTCCTCAGCCCTTCATTCTGTCCGGGCCCCCCCAAAGCTGAAGAAGGTCATTGTGGGGCATCCTTGTTTCTTCCTCAAATGTAGGGAGGAAGATACCGATTAAAAGTTCATAGTATCAACAGCCCTTCGTGTGTGATTTCTTTGGTTTAGTGTGGGGGAGGGGGCAGTGGTGTCATTTGCTCTGGTGACCTTGCAGGAGGGATGTCTGGCCAATGGAACCACATTTGGGTGATGGAGGGACACTAACATTCGCTCCACTTTGGAGTTCTGAGGTTCCTTAACTGGGTGCTCCCCACAGCTCAGGAAGGCTTTGGCCAGAGAGGCCAGGTGACTTACCCAAGAACTCAGAGGGCAGGAAGATGGGGGATGTAGGCCCAGATGTTTTAACTTAGGTTTCAGGCTCCCTGCTCATCACGATAGCATGGCGGGCCAGGGGCAGACTCCAGACCCTGCCACTGATGGTGTCGTATTTAGAAGCACAAAAGTGGAAGAGACATGAATAGGGCAGGAAGAGACAGGACACTCAGCCAAAGCTCCCTAAGGGCCTGGGTGAGGCCTGGTCCCAAAACCCTCAGTCATGTGCTCAGTTCTCATGATGGGGATAACAGCACCTTTACTCTCAGGTACTTGGGACTATTTCCTGTCCCTGGGGATGTGTTCAGGAGCCCGTGGAGGTGGCATGCCCCACAGCTTGTCTGTCCCTCAGGCTGCAAGCCAGCCAAGCTCAAGAGACACCTAACTCCTGTCCACTTCCCTGGGTCTTTCAGGGCCATAGCCCCAAGGAGGAATCCCCACCCAGCCCCACCCAGCCCAGCCCAGCCCAGTCTAGCCAATCCCTGCTTAAACATAATTTCTGCAAGAAGAAGGGGACCAGGGGCACCCGCACCCGGGTGACTCAGTTAAGCGTCTGCCTTTGAGTCAGGTCATGATCTCAGGGTCCTGGGATCGAGCCCTGCTTCGGGCTTCCTGCTCAGTGGGGAAGTCTGCTTCTCCCTCTCCCTCTGCCCCTGCTCATGCTCTCTCTCGCTCACTCTGTTGGAGGAGGCCAGGATGAGGAAGACAAGTTCCTCCCATTCTAGAGGAGTAGGAGCATCTCAAGTCACCTTTGGGAAAATGCTGAGCATCACACTTAGCCACCAGGAAAGTATGAGTACTAGCCACAGGCCCCTCCCTGTGTGGGTCAGGGAACCAGGGAGGTGAGGACTCAGCTCCTCACCCACCCTCAGGGACTTGGGGACATTCTGTTGCCACCTGCTTCTAGGCTGAGGTGTCCCAATAAGTGACACATTACCTTAGAGCCTGAGGGCCAAGTGTCCACCTGCTAGACCTGTCATCTCCCTTCTTGCACAGACACGGGGCCTGAGCCCCATGGCTGCCTGGTGGAGGTGTGACATTCAGGGGAAACCGATTTCAAGGCTCCTTCTCACCAGCTCACAGCATACTCATAGCCCAAGACCTGGGGTCCCTGTCCCACTTCAGAGAAAGCCCGGCTGGTGCAGCCAGCCCAACCTAGGTCTGAATCTGGGTTCTGACACTTCCCTGGTGTCTCTCTGAGCGCTAGCTTCCTCGTCTGTAAAGCAGAGGGTAGTATGTGCACTTCCTGGAGACTTGAGGAGCTTGGCCCTGTTAACCTTGCCATAATGAAAAGCCTAGGAGACAAAGCCTGGCACAGATGGCTGTCCCTGCGCCCCCTCTTGGCCCTCAGCAACTGCCTGGCCAAAGATAGACCCCCAGGACTTAAAGCCCTTGCCTCATCCTGCTGGGCCGGGGGTTTCGCAGACTCGAACATACAACTTCAAATATTTTATTCTATTGCTCACAGAGCACATTCAGACGGATCACCCTGCATAGGCTGATTTGGGGTTCAGAAAACATAGGCACTTAGGGAATGGGCATCTATTCTAATTTTAAACCTACTACATGGCATTTATTTTTCTGTCCTTGAAACCAAGTGTGAGTCTTTGATCTCTGATGCCTAAGTGTTACACAGTAAGTGACCTCTGCAGGTGCTCTGTAGACGGTGAGCTGAATTCCCAGGGCCTGGTTACCAGGGAACTTGGGGAGGCTGGTTACCCAGTTTGGGAGGTTTGGCCCCAGCCTGGGCCCCAGGACACCGGGGAATGGAGCCCCCCTACAGGTCTGAGGCCAGACTCACCTGCCTTCCTGTCTACACTGGACACTCACTCCTTCCCTTCCTGCATCTGTTGGCTCCCCCTCCCCAGCCTCCTCCCACTCCAGTCCATTGCTGTTTGCCTCTTCAGAGGCCTGGTCTGGCGCAGGCTGTCTCCGGACCAACCATCCCAAGGCCTCTGGGACAGAACAGCTTGGCTTTTTCCACCCTCTGCCTCCCCTAGCACCTCCAGCCTCCTAGGACACTCTGCTCCATTGTCTGGCCAGCTGCTCCATAGTCTGATGTCACCCCCTGGACAGTGGGGCCAGAGAGCAGGGACCAGGGGCGGGACCTGATGAAGAAAGGGGGAGAACAGACAGCCGCATGGTGATTTCCTTGGGGGGAGCGCCCAGTGTCCAACTGTTCTGTTATCACAACAACACTGAGCTGGCACTCACTCTGAGACAGGCACCAGACATCATCTCTTGTCTGCATCATGACTCTACAGGACAGAACACTATTCTGTGGGTTGGAAAATTGAGGCTGGACGGGACCAGAAACTTGCCCAAGATCACCTAGCTGCCATGTGACAGAGCCAAGACTCGAACATAGGCAGTTGGCCTCTGTCAGTGTATGACACACATGTGCATGCACACAGACACGCACACACACATACCCTGCTCTGGGCTGGCCAGTGTGGAGCCCCATCAGGACCCCAAATATCTCCCAAGAGCCTGCCTCCCGTCAGCCACCCTGGGGCTGTCTTATGACCGTGCCAAATGACATGATATTTCTATCACACACATAAGCAGTCATGGCCTACATTCCTGAGTGAGAGACATCAGCCTTATGCCTACTCATCCTCCCAGACTCAGCTCCCCAGGGAAGCCTCTGCTGTCCCCAGGTGGCAACAAGACTATTGAGGTCTCTGTACCTGCATCACCTAAGCCAGAAACACCTCCTGGGGGACTCCCTGAGGTCTGCAGGGCTCAGCCCTCAGGGCTCACACAAGATGTGCTGAATGAACCAAGGGTCTGGGACCAAGGGCCGTGAGGCACACCAGAAGGCTGCAGGGCTCTGAGGGGTCTTCCCTGCTTTTTCCCAACTCCACTTCCTGATACCATCTCCTCCTCCTCCTCTCCTTCCTCTCCTTCATCTTCCTCCTCCTCCTCCTTTTCCCACCTCCTCAAGGAGTCTGAAGTCTCTCTCCTGCTCTGGGAATGTGTGATTAATATAGGCAGGATGGGTGGCAGGGTTCCTGGGTCCTATTCTTGGCTGTGGCCTCATTCTGGAATGTGCCCTGAGGTCAAGTGACACTCATCTCTCAGGCTGTGTCAGGAAGAAGGAAGAATAACCCTCCAGCTGGCATTCTCCTGAGGGAGAAGGAAGGGCAGGCAGGTGGGCAGGCCTACCACCCTGCTCCTTCCCACCTCTCTGGCTTCTGAGCTCTTCAGCACTTCTATTTCAGGGTTGGGTAAGAATTTCTGCATCCACATCCTAAATTACCCCAGGACATGGACCTCTGGCATCTGGGTCCCCAGAGACACCCTGGCCACCCTCAACCCCACTCAGGTGAAGGGAAAACAGGACTCAGCTCTAGCCCCTCCTGGATTGGACCTTCCTGGAGGTAGAGCCTCTTCCCAACCTGTCTGTCTGGGTGAGTGCTTGGGTGTTTTCTGCCCTTTTCAAGTCTTGATATGACGGGATGAGGATGCACTCATCCCGTACACATTTGCTGTCTCGGTG